ATTCCTTCCTTCAGAAAAAATTTAACACATGATACTGTTTTTTAAAAATCCCACTGTTATTACTTTTATTTGGCAAATCACCTTTTGCATTTGTCTACCCAACTTACCATTTCTTCCCCTTACATCTTAGGTCTTTGTTCTGGTATTTCTTCTCAAGTTTATCTTTCAGGGGCTGGGGTTGTGGCTCAGTAGTAGAGCACTTGCCTAGCATGCCTGAGGCACTGGGTTTGATCCTCAGCACCACATACAAATAATTAAAAAAATAAATAAATAAAGGTCCATCAACTAAAAAAATTTTTTTTTAAAAGTTTATCTTTCAGAATTTCCTTTGATGAGCTTCTAGTATAGCAGACTCGGAGTTTTATTTTCCTGAAATTTCTTTATTCTATTCTTATTCCTTGACCATCACGTAGGCAGAAGAAACCCCGATCTTCACTTTGGTGTTTGGTGCACTATGTCTACAGGCAGGTGTGAATCCTGCTTAGGATGTGTTGATTTCATAGAGCTACACATTCATGTGTCTGGTCTTGGAAGGTCTACATCTGTCTTTTTGTTGTTATAATCCCTCATAGGGCTGGCCCTATGGGATCTCACCAGGTAATGCCATGAGAGTCCTGCAGGCCTAACTTAGAAAGTTTTCCTCTAAAGATTTGGTTCTGCTCTTTTTTCTGCACAAAAGAATCCACCTCCCTCACCCCTCAAGCACCTTAGGATGCCTGCGTGACTCCTCTTCAGCCCCAGGCTCCAGTTTCTCCTGGATGTCTACCCCAGCCCTATTCTGGCCACTTTATACCAAAGATATATATGTATATGTACTAGGGACTGAACCCACGGGTACTTAACCATTGAGCCACCTCCCCAGCCCTTTCTGAAGCAGGATCTTGCTAGGTTGCGTTGGGCCTCATTTAGTTACTGTGGCTGGCCTCAAACCTCCCAACCTACTGGGATTATAGGCGTACCCCCATGTGCCCTGCAAAGGTTACTGGGGATTGAACCCAGAGGGGCTTTACCCTTGAACCACATACCCAGCGTGCGCCCACCCCCAACAGCACCTGCTTTAAGAGAAAGTCTCCATGTTGTTTAGGGCCTCGCTCAATTGCTGAGGCTGGCCTTGGACTTGTGATCTTACAGCCTCAGCCTCCTATTGCTGGGATTATATACATCTGGCTCCAAATGTTCATTTTTACAGCCTCCATTGTTTTTTGAAACATGTTGAGCACGCTTACTTTATGAACTATAACTTGGTCAACAATATCTTTAAAGTCTTTTTATGTATTTCATTCTGTGTGTGGCTTTCACCTGTATATGCACTTTCCTGAAAGTTTTTGTTTTGTTTTGGCGCATTGATTTTTCTTAAAACATGTATAAACATACAGCTAATGAATTAACCACTACCCAGCTCAACAGTAAACACCAATTCTAGCACTTGGCCCAGCCTTGCCTGTTCTGGACCTTTGTGTAAATGGATCAGACTACGTTATCACATGCGGCCTTCTTTCATTGAACAATTTTGATCACATTATCCAGAAATTGTTTTTTTACTTGTACTGTTCCATTGTATGGAAATATCACTATTTATTTTTTGGTATTATGGATATTTAACCACTGAGCTAGTCTTTTTTATTTTCAAGACAGAGGTGTCTCTCCAAGTTGCTGAGACTGGCTTTGAACTGTCAATCCTCCTGCATCGCTAGGATTGTAGGCATGCTCCACTCTGTCTCTTGATGATTACTTATTAACTATTAATAGTTAATTAATATTAATAATCACTTATTAACTTATTAATAATTGGTGGACACATTATTTCTAGTTCAAACACTGCTCCCCCTTCAAGTAAAAAAAGTGCAGTCATAAGAGCAAATACAGCTTTAAATTTTCTTAAAAACTGAATGTTTCCAAAGTAACTATACCATTTGACATTGGCACAGGCTGTGTGAGGGACACTTGTTTGCACATCTTGGGGTCCTTAGTCTCCTGGTTTCGCGTCACTATCACTGTTTTATTTCCAATTTGTAATACTAATCACATTAAGCATCTTTTCATATGCTTATTTTCTTTTGTGAAATCACACATCAATTCTTTGCCCAGTTTTTGCTACAACAGATCCTGTGGGTGTGGTATAAATATTTTCTGTCTGTGGCCATGTTTTTACTTTTAATGATTTATTTATTTTCCTATTAGCGTTAGTGCTTTTTGCCTACAAGTTTATTATTTTCTTCCACAGGGTCTGCAATTCTCTCATCTTTAGGCCTATGATCCATCTTGGGTGAGGTGATTTCATTTTTATTTGTATTGATGTCTACTTGCCCTAGCTTACACATTTGGGGCAAGGAAGGAAAAAAAAGGTGAGAACGAAATCTAACAAAGTACAGAGGTTGGGGCTGTGGCTCGGGAGTAGAGCGCTTGCCTAGCCCGTGTGAGCGAGGCACTAGGTTCAATCCTCAGCACCACATAAAAATAAATAAATAAAATAGAGGTATTGTGTCCATCTACAACAACAACAAAAAATACTTAAAAAAAAAAGTACAGATTAAATAACCTGGATTCACACCTCAATGAAATCCATGCAAAAGGCATCAGACTAAAGAAGCTAATACTCAAAAAGTAGTGGCTGAAGAAAATGGGCTATTTATCCTTGACCAGGGAAGACTTGAGAAATTAGGAGGTGCTTTAGAACAAGGGATTGGAAAAGGAAGAAACAGGCCAATACTAAACTGTTAAGCTGGACATGATGAGCTTATTAACACTAGGTTTAGAATCCTAGGTCTACCTCTAATTTCAAAAATCTCAAGTTTGTCAGTTCAAAGGTAAGAATAAAGAAAATGAGTTATTTCTTCCAACCTGGGCTATTAAAACACGCTGATCTGGGGGTGGATTTGCATTTATTTAACTGCATGTAGGAAGCCACCTCTTTGTCAACTTGTGGTCAACAGCATTTAATCAGGGGCCAAATATCCATAGTTAATGGTAAATGGAGACTTCAATATATGGCTCTGAAATTTTCCACATCATGTTCTATTTAATAGAGTTGACTATACATTCCAGAATGGAGAATTTCCACTCCCACCCACACTGGAGACTTCAGAGGAAAACTGGAGTTACATTACCTAATAGTTGATTTCCAACATAGTCATTAGACATGCTGAGAACTTCCATATATCATACGACCTTACAGGACTTAGCTTTTGTTTTTTCACAATTAGCTGGGGGTATAAGAACTCTTCTACCATTATTGGCTAGGTGTCTATGACACCAGAATTCATGATTCCACTCACCAAGAATCTTTCAAATACTTAATTTGTGCCATGTTTTAGAGTTTGAAAGGGAAAAATTAAAGATATTGTGTGTGCCTATCAAAAAACAAAACAAAAAACCACATTGATCTTTGCCGCAACAAGAATGCCCTTCTCAGCCGAGTGTGGTGGCGCAGGTTTGTAATTGTAGAGGCTCCGGAGGCTGAGGTAGGAGTTCAAAGCCAGCCTCAGCAAAAGCGAGGCACTAAGCAACTCAGTGAGACCCTGTCTCTAAACAAAATACAAAATAGGGCTGGGGATGTGGCTCAGTGGTTGAGTGCCCGAGTTCAATCCCCAGTAGCCTGCGTTCCCCTTCTGCCAAAAAATGCCCTTCTCTGTAGACTATTAAACGAACTGTTTCAAAGCATGGTTAAAATGCTATTTCCCCATGCAACCTCTCTAGATCCTTCTAGAATGTACTTCTATAAAGTACAGATCTAGTTCATCTTCCACAAAACAGCCTAATTTTTGCTAAGACTGACTTTCGCTGATGTCATGTTTTGCCCAATGGGGAAAACTCCAGTGGTTCCTGGTTGTTTCAATATTTCATTGAAGGTCTACAGAGGGCAGGTCCAAAGGCACTTCTTACTGTCCCAGTTTACATTTTCAGTTCTATTTCTCATTACTCCCTAATATGCTTTCACTCTGTGCCAATTCCTACAGAACTTTCCTTTAAATGAAGTCTTAAAAAATATTGTCCTAATGTCATCTTAAGCACCTCTGAGAACAGTATGCACAGGACAGACTCGAGCTCCAATTTGAAAAGTCCAATTGCAATGAACACCCCGTATGCCTACCATCTATAGGCTGTTAGTAAATCACACAGAACCACTGTATAAATAGCACTCCACACACACACATTTTGATTGATTCAATATACATCAAGACTGCTTGCTGGTTGGTATAAAAAGAAAGGAAAAAAGGACATCATTTAACTACTTTGTTTACTTGCCTTAGTTTTATAAGTTGTACAGATGTCACACTTGAACTATAAAAAAAAACCATGATCTCCCAAGTCATTCCTGTCATAGGTCATTCAGTAACGAACATACATACAAATTTAAACTTGGACGGGGCTAGACCACACCAACCAAGCATGACTCGTAAGTGTCATTACATTCACTAGTAGAATGAACATTTCAACTTAATTAATCTTGAGATAAGAGTGTGTCCTTGCCTATAAGACTGAGTAACATTTGTTATGTAAATTCAAGGAAACTGAAAAAAGAAACATCATGATAAAATGTGTTAGTTATAGTTCAACCTAACATGGATTCATTTGGTAATTCTAACAAGTTCTCAGATTTATATTTTTAATATCTTTAACTTTCCTAAAAGTTAGAATTAAACAAACAAAAAAATTAAAAATGTTACAACCTAGGGTTATAAATCCAATAACCTAGACTCCAATTTCTTAAAAATGTTCTGGGTAAACTGATTCTATTTTGATACATGAAATACAATGGACTGTGGAAAATATGCAAGAACAGATATTCTTACCAAACCATGAGGGAACTGGGTTATCTGACCTGTTGATTCCTAACAATATTATTAGGTCTAGCAGACAGAAGGTGCCTCAAAAAAAGGTGTGTTGAATGGTCAAGTTTCACTTCAAATTGACAATGCACTTTGGTTCTACACACAGGACAGTCCTATTAACACGTGATTCTAGTTTCACCATGCCAAACAGAAACAAAGTCACCACAATTTCATAAGCATAGTTTAATTTTTTAAAATTTTAACAATTCAAGTAAAAGCTAGTTAACATAAATACAGAATATATGCACATAATTTACAGCCATGTACATAAATGAAAGAAGAGCAAAACTCACATAAATGGGCAAAAGTTACCAACTCTTTAAAAGTTGACGTGTTAGGGGTGGCAGATAGGTCATAATTTAATTGTTCACATACAATGGGGTACACATTCAAAAGTTTTTTAACATAACTGAGTAGGACTAGAATTTTTCAGTTCCTAAAAGGAGTAGCATAAAATCAACGGGAAATATAAGAGCATGATAGAGAGTTAAAAACAGAAAGCATACTGTACTTCATATATTAAAATTCCTTTCAATTTACACCATTCAGAAATGACTATATTCCTAGGAATGTTAAAGTCATGATTAGTACAGTCAGCCTTTTTCTCCTATAGTATGAATCAGTCCCAAAGGGTCCCTACAATTACTACATTTGGGTAGAAGAGCATGTAAACCACAAAAACAGGCACAAGGGATTCTGGAAGAGGGACTAATTTATTACAACCCTGATTCTGCTGGTCCTAAAATAATGCTACTCCACAGTGCACATTAGGTATGAGACAAAAGGTTGGATTAAATAACCTCATGATATTCTATTTTGGTTTCGAAATTACTAATCAGTTTGGGCCTATTCTAGTAAGGTTGGTTCTACAAAGTTACATAACCAGAACCAAGACGGAGGTTTCCTGGTAGATTCTTCCCCTGGAATTGAAAGCATTGTATGGTACTCACAACCACAGGGGTGGCACCGTGGTCTCAGATTTGAACTGCGAAACATAGCAAACTCTTTCTGGGAGTGGCTACTCTATGAGCATAAGCTTTCAGTACCTACTGCCTGAACCTGAAGAAGTTCAATTCAATTTCTGAGAAGATTCTGTAATAAAATACAGACCAATCTGGAGTGCTGATGATCTCCTACCAAAACACAACAACAACAACAAAAAAATCCAAAAAGTTCTCTGATAGAAAACAGATGAAAGCAACACATAAGCAACTTTTTAAAAAAAAAAGTCCAATGCTCTGATGAACATCTTTGTCTTTAAACATTAGAATAGATTAAAAAAAAATCAACCTTAATTGCATTAAAGCAATTTTCATATGTAGTTTTCTTTTTTGAATTATCTGTCCTAGTGTAAACTATGGCAGAATGTACTCAGGGGAAAAACCAGACTTCATTGCTCCTTTCTAGTTGTTGCACAAATGCAGCCCAAGACTTGAAAATCTTTTCCTTCTAGTACACACATAATATGCACTTTAAAAGCTGATATAATGCACGAAAGGTCAACGTAAGTTTTGCTTGCTAAATATAAACAGAAATAAAATACCATCCTTGAAGGACACTTGTTATGAATTTGCTATAACAAAATGAGATGTTCCTTAGCTGCTGGTTTTCATGTCATTCTTCATTTGTGGGGCACTGAGATCAGTAAGACTAGGGAGTGTGTCCTACATTCAACACATTATTTATGGATCTTCACAAGGCAAATGGCACTGTATTAGGCAGTATAAATGGCACTGAAAAGGCAAACATTATGGAATGAGACCTTCTCTACAGATTTAAGTTAGAACTTCTGGGGTATTCTTCTGGTGGGGAAGAGAGCTTAGTATGTTCCTCACTATAAATGTCAAAGCAGAAATTAAAATTTAAAAAAAAATGTTAAATAACAAAAGGTAACAAAACTGAATTTGCCTTTGGTCTCCAAATAGATTGGAATATTTTAAATTCCAACTGAGCACCTCAAAAACATCCAGTTACTGCTGATTACAAGGAAGTTAAGGTAGAATTCAAGAGAGCTTCATTGGTGACAGCAAAAAAAAAAAAAAATTGCAATGACATGCTGCTTTTCCATAATGTGGCACTGCAGGGTACGAAGAATGCTTAAACACATTATTAGACCTTCAAAAGAAAAACCCAGAAAAATGTTATGAACACTGTTTCTCCCTAAGACCAATATTTAAACAACAACAAAAAAAGTTAACATGAAATTCTCTCCTCTCTTGTTCCCTCCCCACCCCCAAGGCCACAAAGTGCATTCACAAGGAGTCATTCTCAAGATAAAGCCATTGCACAAAATGTCAAGTTAAGGTAGACTGAACTGAGGACCACACTGGAGTTCAACTGTAGAAGTTTTATAAACCAGTATAGCAACATCCATAGGCAAAGTCCCTTGACATGGTATAATAGCAGACACCTCATAAGGGCCATATATAGAACACATTTAAAGTCTTAAAAGGTACAGGTTACTTAATAGCAAAATTTAAAAATTACATCCTGTCAACATATTTTACTAACTTGAATCTTTCTATGATAGACCATTCGAGAAAATAGGACAGAATAAATTTCCATCAGAAGTAACTGTTCATTTATAAACTCTAAGTCAATTAAGATCATTACCTTCTGAATCAGAGGGCTCCTCTTCTATAATGTTTATACTGTCCCACATTAATACCAGCTTTAAAAAAACTCATAAGGGCAAAACTGAAAATTACCATTTTCTCTACAAATAAATCTAATATATACAGATCTGGAAATGATTCAAAGGTTTAGATTCTTAAAGTGATAGCAAGTAGAGAAAGATTCAGAAGTAGTAAAATTTTCTATTTAACTAAGTGATACTTAATTCAAGTCCATAACAAGTAAATTACTGAGAAGGCATTTGCATTCATTCATGTACCATAAAATTAGGTAAGATTTAAAGACACATTCAAGTCATTGAAATGGCCAAGAATTAATGTTTTACTAGTTTATTTTGCCAAACTACTGTGAGTTTGATATTCTAACAATTTAAAGTCCACATTATGCTCAACATCAAGCACCGGTTAGTCATGGAAACCAAAACATCTTAATGCTAAAAGTACACAAGGTATTTAGACACAATTTCATTGGTTGTCAATAACAGTTAACTATTGATGCCAAATAGTTAAATTTAAAATACTGTGCCAGGTCCTCTCAGGAAAATGGGAAAATAATATTCAGGATCTATCTATTATTATTATTCTACAGTATTATAGGGATTAAATGCCAGAAGTTAGAAATTATGACTGTCAAATACTATCTTTGGATAGTTGTAGTACAGTATATAATTAGGGATGGCTTTGTTTAGAGACTGAAAAAATGCTGATGGAACAACACTACACTCTGAATGCCATTACTCAACAAACACAACTGCATCTTGTGGACATGGTAGAGAAAATGGCAATTTTGAGAAGGAGTGCTTCTAAAGGCATTTCCTCAAGGGTAGCCAAGGATTGTTCACATTACTGAGAGACTAAGTAATGTGACATGGTTACCACCTCAATCACACTGCTGCTGAGGCACAGTTATATGTTCCCAACTACTTTCCTTCTGTCCACCATGCTGGCTTTGCTACTCCATGGTCCACTGTAATCTTTTTGGTCTTCCCTCTTTGTAGTGTGGCAGCCTTTGCTGCTATCCATTGAGTAGGTAGACCACCAATTCATAGGTGGCCATCATAATGGCTGTGTTTGGAATCTGTCTCACCAGGTGGGTTGTTAGACCACGGTAGAGAGATCCATAACCTTCTTCTTGAACAACCAAAGACAGTGTCTGAAAAAAAGATCTGTATTTTGTTCCCTCTTCACGTAGTCTTGTTCTTACAACTTCTGTTTAGGAAAGAAAGAAAATCATCTTATTTAAATATTATTGTATCTTTACACTCTCACAATACTGAGCACATTCCTTTTCCCATTCTCAGGATATTGACTTTTAACATGTAGCTTACTGAAACCAGTCACATTTCAGTAACACCAAGTTCCTAACATAGCTAAAATCATGTACACCAACTATCAGTTGTACATTAGATAAACAGACACAGAGTTAAGGATAAAACTGTTAAGAAGCAGGATAGGAAATGTAGCTAAATGGATACGGAAAGATACAGTGAGAAACAAAAAGATTTAACAAAGCAGTAAAAAGACACTTCGCTGGGGCTAAGTGTGGCTGAAATTTGCCACTGGAGCTGGAGCATGACTGACTCACAGCTCCTGTCCAACAGCACATACCTGCTTATACCTCATGTTACTTAGCTTTAGTCCCACTGTAAGCTCCAAGAACTGCATTCTGTTGTACTGTAATTAAGTAAAATCCCACAGATTCTAAAGATGCTTCGAGCTGGGGTAGGAAAATGTTTCTGATCTAACAGTTTACTCACAGAGACTCAACTGTTCTTACCATGTGGATATGCTATAGTTGTGGCACAAGTTTTTGAGGTGGCAGCAGCTAGCATCATTCCCACAAAATCTGATGCTTCTTTCACCGACTCTTCACCATTTTCCATCACAGAAGCAGTTTTACATTCCAGTAGTTTTTGCTTTATACTTTCATAAATAACAAAATGGATAACAGTCTCTGATATGCCAGCGTATGAAGCAGACATGCCCCTATAAAATCCTCTAAGTCCATCTGTCCGATACACTTTACGAACACATTCAAAAGCACCCATTCGCTTTTCCCCACGGTTCCTGAAAGGAAAAATATTGACACTGTATATAGGTTTTTTAAATAAAGTAAATGAAACAGAGTAAAAATATGCCTCTCTAATAAAGAATGATCTTCTTTAACACATAAGGGAAATCAGAATTTTAAAAATACATTCATCTTTCGTATTTCCTATCTTTTGTCCCAAATTTGTCATATTAGATGCATAACATGTAAATAGCTTAATTTACTGAATGCAAAATATATTTCATTGATTCTATAGTTTCACACCCTCCTTACTAGAGTTCAGGTAGTAAGGATAACCAAGAAACTCCAACAGGAACCAGATACTCTGAATGCAGCTCAACATAAAAACAAGTCCCCCCAAAACCAAACCCCTCACAATGTAATTCCAGTTCCAAGTAACTTAAATATCTGACAACGATGAGATATTTATGATGACAGTACACTACAAAGAAAATTGTATAATTGAGTTTCTGTGCATCTGTAGTTCTTCCATCTCCACCCAGACCATCCCCAAGAAGTGAGTGTGTGAGCATCAAATGCCCCACGACCACTTAAAGACAATGGCCTTATTAGTATTCCAGGAAATGGTAAATGAGAACCTATAGAGTCATCAAGCGCTTCTTCAGAACTGTTCTCAACACAATATCCTTAATGCAATTGAAGGAAAGACTTGCTTCTGATAGCAGACTAAGTTTCAATGTGGAACAAATCAAAAAGTTCAACAGAAAAAGGTAATAAGGAGAAAAAAAAAAATGAAATGGCTGGCACTGAAATCTTACTGACGTAAATTTGTAGAAAAAAAATAAATACTTTTAAATTTTATTTTAAGGAATTAACATACCTTGCATCTAGCTGTAACCGAGTCTTTATAAGCCAAATGGGGTTGGTTGCCGTGATTGCAGTAAAACCTAAACAAACACGTTTAAAATGAACTCCAGTAAAGATGAAGACACGATTAACTTTAAGGATCTTTAATTATGACTATAATTAGAGAAAATATCTATAAGTATTTAAACTATTAACTGATATGTTCTATAAGTATTTAAACTAATAATTGATGTTTTACACTTTTATTTTACAAATTCATATAATCATGAACATCTATCTGACCTTACAATCTACACAAATTCTCAAATTCTGACCTTAACAAAAGATTCTTTTAAGAGTAAAATCTGATTATATGTAAAGTGCTCTCCTCCAACCTACCCAGAATGCCTGCGCTGTCTATTGCCTAAACTGAATGCAGAAACCCAATGCTACAGACAAACACACAGTAACTTTTTTCTAGGCTACGAAGCATGCACTCTAGAACAGCTACTTGGGGGTGTGATTCTTGTCACAGATCAATATGTTCAAAATGAGTTCTACATAAATGGCAGTATTTACTAATATTTTTATTCATTTAACAGAAAAGACTTATTTGGCCCCATGAATACTCTGTACAAACATACTTACTAATACTGTTAAAATAATGGTATGACAGAGGTAAGGTTTCTGTTAGGGTTAATAGGACAGATTACTTTTCATACACTTAAACACATACGAAACTCAAAAGTTCAGAGTTGCAAATTGGAACTTCCCTCTCACTTTCAGAGATACTGAATAAAGTCAGGGTAGAAGGTAGCTCTAAGTTACTTTAACACTAAAGTATTAAGTAGGAACTATTATGCAGAAGGGTAGCCCCTAAGGTGATTCAATTCTAGGTAGAAAATTACGATTTGTGGAGCAGTAAGTTTCTAGGCTCGTGTATATATTTTCTTTGACATCTTCCTAGTTTGGGAAAAACAGTAGCACACAAACTGCAATCTTGATGATGGGAATTTATAAAGATTGCTTTATCTACACAAAACAGGGTATTCACATTTTATGTTTACATTTAAGATCAAATACACAAACATTACAGAACTACTTACATCAAGCTACATTTACTCAACTGGCCCTTAAATTCGAAAACTTATATGGAGAAATATATCTAAGGATCTTCACTGTTTTAATATTTTCTATCAAATGCTAGCAGGTCAAGTACATTATTTTTAGCAAGATGGTACTATATTTCACATACTTAATATAAGCACTTTAGGAACAAAAATGCTGTAAAATATTTAGGAATGATTTGTTTTAAAAATTAATATTATATAAGGTGGAACCAATCATAAACTGCTCTTGGCTTTCAAAGTTACTATGGGTAACTACATATGCAAAATAATTTTACTAAACTGTTTACAAAGCTAAATTTGGACTTATAAGATTCTTTTCTCCTGTCTATGTGAGATAATAGCTAAGTCAAATTTTACTTCTCCCTTAACACACTGTTCTAACACTATAAATAGGCAGATGTTATACAAAGGGATGTTCCAATTAAATCTATTTAAGAAAGAAGGTAACTGGAATAAAATTTGGTTGAATAATTCCTTTAATAATTTATAAGAATTATATAGTTCTCTATATCTCTTACATGCTTTTAATATTATATACATAAACATAAAACTAGAATGGGACCAATGATTTTAGAAGCATCAGTCAGAATTAAACTAATAAAAATTTAGAATCGAACAGTTGTTGCCACTAACATTTTTCAATAAGAGATTCTTTGTATGAATATATTCTTGGTGAAAGGAAAAAACAGAAAACTATGCATCACTAGTTTAAATATTTTTCTTGCATAATCTGGCTTAACTGAAAACAAAGTTATTCAATGTTTTCTTCTTTTTGAATCTCATTTTTCTAACTAAAATGGTGAAACTAAAGATATTTGAACCATAATTTTTAAGCAATCAAACATCCATATTCTGATCAAACCCCAATTTAATGATTCTTACTTCTGAAATAAGAATCTGATTCTTCTTTCTTAAATATTTATATTAGCTAAATGTTTGTGAGATAAAGGCTCCTTAAGTGAAAAGCTGTTCAGCAGCAAAAATCAACAGAATACATTACTCAAGATGGCAATTACTGATCATTCTTAAAAAATTTAAGTTAAGGAAAACTACCTGTTTATTGAAGTTGAAAAACCTAAAACTGGGAATTCTTATATCAAATTTAGAAAAACTCAATAGCCTAGGTAAAAATTTTCATTTAATTTATTATATTTCATTTGAAAAGATGAATACCAAAGTTTTTTAAGTAAAAGTTCTATTCTAAAAATATAAACTTAGTACCAAAGTTTTTGCCAATAATATTTTTTTCCAAGATACAAAATTCCCCAAATTTTAGACTGGGAAAAAAAACATTTAAATATGTATATATACATAAATATTTATAAATATTACTATAAATTAAAAATTTGGGGGCTCAAAATATTATTTTAAAATTATTATCTGTGCATATTAGTAGACAATGTCAGAAAGCAAACAACAGGTATTGCTCACTTAACTAAAACTCATTTCCAGGCACAAATTAAACCCATATAAAAGGTCATATGAAAATTCAGGTGAGAAAATATTATCTGATCCCTTAAAATGACTACATTAGTAAGCTATACTTACTATAATTATTCTAACTCAATTCTCCCAATAACTAGAATGAATTCTTAATAAAGATACTAGCCTAACTTCCAGCATTCAAACTATGAGTTGAATAAAGAATCTAGGCATAACCCACAGGCTTTTAGTTACTGATCCTTTACCAGTTTAAAACTGGATGGTATTTGAGTCTTATGCTATTACTTCTTCTTAACCAAAAATAATGAACTAATTAGAAATTACTAGGCTAAACTAATTCTAGAAAAATCTATTAATTAGAAAAAAAATGAAACAAATGGAAGAAAACAAAAGTTTACTATTAACTTAGAATTACATACAACCAGACAAAGCTAAACAATCTTCCTACTGCTTTTAAGATATGCACACACAAGGTTACTGGGTATGGTGATCCTGAAATTTAGAAACTACCTATTCTTATTTTGCTTTTTAGTTTTGTGACAATTTACGATAACTTATATTAATGTGGAGCACCTAGTAAAACATTAAAATAGACTTAAAACTATAGGAGGGATCCATTTGTAGTTTAAGAAGGATTAGTACTGCTCCAGTTAGTTAAAGCAAGGTGTCAATACAATTGCCATACTGTTAGCTGGGTGATTAGTGTTTTATTAGATAGTCTTAAAAAGGTTTTAAAATGCAGTTTTAAAAACATGTTGCTTCATGTAAGATTCCATTTGATAGTGTATACCAATTAAAAACCAGATAAACAAATTTCACATACAATAAATCTGCTGAAAATGTCTATTTCATTAAGTGAGTGATACCTGTAGTATTGCATTTTCAGTAATTCATTTTATTTCAGTTAACTCTATAAAAACAAAACTCATGTACTGTCCTAAAAAGAACCTTATAAAAAGTATTTTTTTAAGTAATTAAAACTAAAACACCTAATATATCCTGCATTTATTTGGAAAGTCGTGGCATTAAGATCACTATTTTTGGCAGAAGAATAGTAAGCTAAGTATTGATAGACAAGAGAATGAAAACCACTTTTAAATATGTTATGCTAAGTAAGTGAACTATTTTATCTAAAGTTTTAGGGCATTATGATATCATTTACAACTATGAATATATACTGTTACCAAATTCTTTGGAAGTCAGGGCTGTTATAGCCAAGCTAAAGACCCCAGGATTACATGACGACTGAAACATACCCCATTCTTCCTTCTAGAAGGATTATTAAGGGATCTGAATTAAATTTCTATAAAATACTCAATAATGCATACACAAATTCAGGAAATAAAAATTCATTTCCCGCCTTCTATTCATTTCACAGCTACTATAAAATCCCAGGGTGTGTTTCTTATACTAGAGGCTGCAAGAGATGCTCAGATCAGTACTCACGAGGTTTAAGTTAGTCCATATTTCTACAGGAAGTGACCTGCGGATGGGGAGCATGAGATGACACGATCTCACTCTTTTCTCGGGAGAAATGTACAGTAAATGCCTAAAATAGACACAGGCTTTTCTGTATCATAACAACAAGCAGTGACCTCATCAGAAACACGTGTACAAATTGAATCCCACTGGAAGGATTTGAGAAATATTTACTGTGAGAGCTAACCTTTTTGAAAAAGTCAAGTTAAAAAAAAGAAAGAAAGAAAGAAATATCAAAATGGGCCATTTTATTTACAAAAATGCACCGAGTACTGAAAATCCTGCCATCTGTAGCAGTTTGAGTCCAAATACTTACCTAAAAGAAACCAATTTTGGTCTTAGAAAAAAATGCTAACCTTGTCAATTGGGAATCTAAAAACAAATATTCAGAGGGGATTATCACATTCCATTTTCCTACCATTATTATCTACCATGATTAACAGCTGAAAACACAATTTTCTGTTCTTTTAACAATCAGCCTAGTTAGTAAATCTTTAAAAAAATAAAAATAAAACCCCACCAGAATATTCAACTAACTTTATTTTAGAACTGTTTATATGTATATATATATTTTTTAATAAAATAAAGTATATGCTGCTACAATAGTACCTTTCACTTTTTGCACTCTAGCCAGTAATATTGCACATCCATACTTATGGAATATTTTGGATTATTTTGTACTTAATTTCTTGTGTTCTACAAAACAGAAAACAGGAAAAATATTTACATAAAAACAGACAAAACATCTGTCCAAGTATCCATTTGGCTAAATAATTTGCCACGGACAAATATTATTTAAAAATATTTTATATATGCAAGACAAAAGTTGTATTTAATGAGTAAAAATTTAACCTTTAGAAATGAACTATAAGTCAAACAGAAAAATATATCTTGAATTCATTTCATTTACATTTATAGGGCTATTATATGTTCATGCCAGATTTTTAAAAAATTTTAAAATTGAGTAATTTAAGAAGTTTACCATAAAGAAAGGAGAAATTTAATGATTTTGTTGTATACACATATGTGCTTAGGTGTATACAGAGGGATGTTCAAGCTCATTTTAATAAAATACACACATAAGACAGATATCCTTAATAGCTAAAATAAACTTACTCTGACAAAGGTCGTATGTAGGAGGAAAAATAGCAGGTAAAACATTAAGAAAAGTCAACGTTACTTAGTGTGATTAAATATCCTCATAATTGGAAATTTTATTTAATACATGAAAACTTATATTTTACAGACTTAAAAATTCTTACAGCATTCACCTGTAACACTAAAACAAATGAAAAGATTCACTTTAATTGACCTTTTAATTGTTTCAGTAGCTATATTAAATGTTATGTAAAATAAACTTAAAATAAATTAAATGTTTTGAGTTGATAAAAATGAAACCAGAGGTTACTTGGAATAAAAATTAAGTAAACAGTGCCTTACTAAAATCCTTAACATGAATGCTAATTGGTGTTGCAAAAATTTCCAGGAAAAATGCTGAATTACCTATTTTTAGTGCGTTTTTGATACGAAAAGTGACAAGGTTAGCTTTTTTTCCTTGAATAGCCAATTTTTAAAAACCTGTTTTTTCACATGACTATATCTCTAAGTATTTCACACCCCAAAATCATTCAGAGTTAGACCTCTAAAAATGATCCTGAAGAAAACTCAGAGCACTCTGGTCTAGATTATTTTAAGAATGAAGGGGGCAAAAGGCTACCTTAATGAGTCTGCACTGAACCATTCAGGATGTAGTTATTTAAAAAAAAAAAAAAAAAAACCCTAAAATTGTAATGCTAAAATGTTAAGGCTCATGAATAGTGCAAGGAAACTCTGAAAGCATAATTCTCAGAACAATGTAACTGCAAATAAATATAATATATATCTTAAAATTACACAGTAAGTGTATAGTGCAATAGTCTCTAAACAAGCATGACCATCAATTTGCTAAAATGCAAGGAATTCAGATTGGCAAACAGTATCAATGTACAGATAAAAACAACCTGAGTTAATATTTGTACCCATTTGAGAAAAAAGTACAAAATGATAATTTTACTGAATTTCTTTGCAATGTGATACAAATACATAATAGTAAATTCTGGTGAGCTATTTTAATGAAATAAGGTGCTTCAGTGAAAAAAGATATTCTGAACCTCTTAATTTATAATACTGATATTATAAACATTCAAAGCAATGTTTATCTACTTTCTTGATTTCAATTTTTTCAAAAAGGCAACATTTTTAACATTTTTAAAAATAATTTTCTGGGGTTAAAAATGAAAATCATATACACTGGTAAGCCAGAAATATATTCTTAAAGAATCTAACCCAATAGTTATTAGGTTTATCACTGCCACTAACTTTTACCTTATACTCAAAATTTGTAGGGGGAAAATCATATCCATATATTCAACATCTGTAAAACATACATTAAAAAATAATTCTAGTTTTAACTAGATAATCTTTATCATAAAAGAACTAGTTCTCAAAATCCAAGTCTGTCTACATCAACACTCCATGGATGAGGTCAAGAGGCTCACATAAACTACCTAACTTGCCCAAGATCTCCTTATTGGTAAATCAAAGTATGCACTATCTTGATTGTTAACTTTGTTGTCCCTTCCAACTTTTAAACTTCAACAGTCAATCAACAATAGCTAAATATGGAAATGTGTGAAAACAATTTGTAGGTATATGCTAGATTTATTATATGGTAAAGACTATCAACCTTTCAGAAATTAGTATTTCAAACTTACACTTAGTTGATTAAATATGTGGTTCAAATTGATCCAATTTATTTCTAAACAGAAAATGGTTAACAGTTTAAGGCACTCATTATTAAGCATATAACTGACACTCTATTTACTGATCATCAGCTGACAAAAGTGGCTACAGTCCACTGTATAAAGCCACAGCATAATTTGGAAATATAAAATATTGTTAAATATGCAACAAATCTCAGAAAACTTAGAAAATTTCTATTCAGAACCAAACTTCATGGCTTTGTCTAACATGCATGGCAGCAAATGATTCCAGAACCAGACTGGTCAAACCAATCTCCCATAGTTTATTTTTAAGGCAGTGCACAGACCTGGGGCAAACTGTTTTAATTCAGAATCATACATACTCATCAATGATATCAGAAGAGTTCCTGGAAACATTTCTATATCAAGCATGTCCACACAGCCAGTGTCTAAATTTCTGGTAGTATCTAGTCTCATTTATGTGGATGATAAATATATTTTAAAAAATACATACATTATAGTAACTGCTTGAATTATATATATCACTCACAAAAATCTCAGCATTTGAGCACAGGACAAAATGAATACTTTACCAAGAATTGCCGGCACATTTCAGACAGAAGCCAAAACATGCAGCAAAAAGGGGAAAGGCACTAACAGAAATTGAGGAGAGAAGAATAAATTATAGCTCTGTAACTTACAGCGTAATTATGGTTGGAGTCTTAAAATTGTTAAAAGTAAATACTAAACATTCAGTAAATTATAGAACAATATGAACATTATATTATCTATCTCATTACTTAAAGTCCTAAAGACAAAAATACCAATTTACAACAATTTTTTTGTACCTAATCAAATCTGTTTAATACAAATAAACATAAAAATCATCTTTGCACATGCTAGTCAGTGAAAGCACACTAATCATCTTAACTTTTCAAAATAAACTCATCAAATTCAGTATTAAGTCTCTGGGTTTCAGAAAGTTTTTTAGTCTTTTAGTATTATACATTCATACCTGCCACAGCAGCCGAAATCATGTGTACCTGGGTAGAATCAGGATCAAACACACCATTCAACGTTTCCTTGGAGTTTGAATAAGCAGCAAAGTATATTGCTCTAAAAATAAAATTTAAATTTGTCAATAAGCACATTGTCTAATTCTTAAGATTTAAATGTAAATTTACCTTCATAATCTCAGAATGGAAAAATCTAAACACCAAGTATCAGTCATATTCTCATATAACATCAGATTAACAGTTTTACGTGAATACCCTTAAATACTTTCTGTATTGATTAAAAAAAAAAAAAAAAGGGACAAACTCCAATGCAAAGTTCCTAGTTTCTATCCTTAAACAATCCTCTACCCAGTACTTTGATGCTACTTAGAAATTGACTAACTGGAGCTGGGCGCCATGGTACATGCCTATAATCCCAGCGGCTAGGAGGCTGAGACAGGAGGATCCTGAGTTCAAAGCAAGCCTCAGCAATAGTGAGACACTAAGCAACTCAGTGAGACCCTGTCTCTAAATACAAATGGGGCTGGGAATGTGGCTCAGTCAGTGGTCAAGTGCTCCTGGGTTTACCCCTGGTACCAAAAAAGAAAAAAAGAAAAGAAAAAGAAATTGACTAACTGGAACAAAAATATTTGTACAAGATTTTTATGCTTGGAAACCCTCTGCATGATTGTGAGGTTTGTGCAAGACTAAGGCTAAAGAAGTACACCTAACTGAGCTGAGTATCAACTGAGTGTAACTTTTTGGTGGGGAAAGGAGAGTATCACTAAAGTACTTGCTAAAAATTTTAATATAGCATAGTCTTAGCTATAACATACAGAATAGTTCACAGTATTCTTTTATTTTCAGTGCTGGGGACTGAACCTAGGACCTCAGGCATGAGAGGCACGAACTCTACATTGAACTTCACCCCAGCCCCACAAGTGAAATCACACCATCAGATTGGGATGTGTTTGTCAATGTTTGTGAACATTCTGTTAAATTTTTAAATATTTTCCATTAACATACTTTGACTTTTTACATCCCCAGTGTTTAACTTTCCAGGCATAGAATTATTTGCTTTCTATTTCCTATATCCTATTTCTCAACAGTTCTAATTATCTATCCAATAAATAACAGATAAGTACAAATGGAAAGTTTCACTGTTACATCTTTTTAAATGTGGTTAAGGATAAAGGGAAATTAATAATTAAAAAAATTCTACTTTATAAGAAAGAAAAAAAAACAGTATACACTTGATGCTAAATTGTGAAGTAGAACAAACATCTCATTCCTAGAAATGAATAAGGAAAAAAAGACCCTAATGAGGAAATAAGTATGGAATACATACAAGCAATTCACAGTAGAGCTATGAAATGTCAAGTATTAAGAATGAGAGTGCTGCTGCATCAAAAATTAAACAAGGATATATTAAAACAGAAAAAAAATCACATTTAGCTCATCTGGCAAGTATTAACAAGATGGACAGTAGCCAGAATTGGTAAGATTGTGGATAAAAGAAAAACGGATTCACTATTTGATAATAAAAATATGGTATGCCTTTTTAGAAGGCAAATGAACAGTATTCTCTAGTTTTAAATGTGCATATGCTATTTTATGCAGAAGTTCTACTTCAGGGTAAACATCCTGAAAGAATATACTTGCTTAAGTACTCAAAGGTTCTACATTTATAATACCACTTTCCCCCGCTACCACACTGGGGATTGAACTGCACATGGTAGGCAAGGACTCTACCACTGAGCTATAGCCTTGCTCTAAGTTGCCTAGGCTATTCTTGAACATATGAACTTCCTGCCTTAGCCTCGTGAGAAGTTTGGTTTAGGTGTGCAATACTTCACCCAGCTCCACAACACTGTTTTTTATATTAAAATCTGAAAATAATCTTTTAACGTGCATCTCTGAGGGAATGCTTATTAATGAGGGTCATACTATATAATAAAAAAGAAAATATCACCCACAGAACACGTAAAGAGCTTCAACACAAATTAGGTTGAATAGTATGAGCTCAATTTTATATAGTCGATAATTATACATTTAATTTTACAAATGTTTTTATGCATATGATAACCCAGAAAAATTATTGGGAAGCTATACACCAAACTATTGTTAACGATGGTTATCTATGAGGAAAATTAGTGTATGGGAAGGGGAACAGGGTAATAGACAATATGTTTAAGATGGAAAGTCAAATTCAATGGTATAATGCTTTTTTTTTTTTAAACAAGAAGGATGCAAAATGAATAATTTCCTAAAAACAAAACAAAACAGCTGACCTCCAGTAAGTAATTAGACATGAATCTGGTTTAAGATTTGGATTCAGAGAGCTGTTGTGCTCATGCTCATTCTAAATAGGAACTTTGGACATCTTACATCATGAAAGAAGTCAACCTAAGATAAAATGGCATCAGAGAAATGATAAAAGTAATATTCCAGATCTTTATGGTTTCTTTAATAGGAAATGGAACTATTTGTTTGGCTTGTTAGTGAAGCCAAAAAAAAGGCTTAGTTTTAGAATTCCCAATTTTCTTTTTCTTATTGCTAAGTTCCTTTATTTGTTGTCTTTTGAACTTGGTGCAAAGACTGCTTCACAATGATATCACTGAGAGGTCCTTTTGTACCTCCACCTGGTGCAATCTGCGTAACCTTTCAGATGATCACTGTTACCCCACACTGATATCCTTACCACCTTGACTGTGTTCAGATCTCCCTTTACTGGGCCTTCCTTACTATGGTAGGTACTGTAGGCATCTTACTGACCTTCAATGCTGCACAGATTTTCTTGTTTTAGACTTTCTATTTCTTTCTTCAATCCTGTTCTAAGCCCTGAACCCTTTATAGCTCTGATTCTACAGATGCCATTTTATTTCTTTGAAACTCAACTTCTATTTGTATAATCAGAAAGGAGCACTAACTTCAAGTGGAGTACAAAATAGGGTAGCATCTGAAGCAGAAAAATTTGAAAGACATATTTTAGGTTCAAGGGATGCATTTTTAAAAAGCTTATTTTTCCTAAAGATAAAATTTTAAAAGATGTATGAACAGGTTTAGTTAAATTCAGAAAACCACCAACACCTATTACAAAGTATCAGTAGTTGGGCTGGGGATGTGGCTCAAGCGGTAGCGCGCTCGCCTAGCGTGCGTGCGACCCGGGTTCCATCCTCAGCTCCACATACAAACAAAGATGTTGTGTCCACCGAGAATTAAGAAAAAATAAATAAATATTAAAATTCTCTCTCTCTGTCCCCCCCTCTCTCTCACTCTCTCTTAAAAAAAAAAACAAAAACAAAAAAACCCACAAAGTATCAGTAGTTTATGGCCTTAACTCTGCATAGATTTTCAATTCCCCACAACAAGAAAAAAATTCTTCCAACTCCCAAAGGTCATTAAGAGGGTATAATTATTGTCCTGGGAGAACTCAATACATAGCCACTAGCTCTAAGGGAATTTATAGATTTTTTTTTTAAACAAACATTAGTAATTCACCATCTCTTCTTCAATCCAAAACAAATATACATATTATCTTCCCTATTTTCAACTTTGAATATCTCCTCCAACACCTGAAATCTCAGGTCCATTCATGGAATTTAAAAATTTACAACTCTTATTTAGAAACAATGTTTCTCAAACTTCTAGGTATGTTACGTCATACTTCTTTATTTCTCCACTATAAGACCATCTATAATTTGATACAAATACTATACTTTTTACCTTATATTATGGAACATTTCCTTTGCATTCATATCACAACTGTTAATTTCTAACATGCTGAAATTCTGTTAGTTTTCCGAACACCCAGTACCACTTCCTGCCACCAAGCATTACTTTGTAAATTTGTCCTGGTTAATGTCCAAAATCCTTAAAAAGAAAAATATTTCCCCAAAACACTAAAAACTGCAGTTAACTGTATATAAATGATTTAAATCCAGATACCCTGAAACAAGAAAGACTGCCATAATTCTACTTAATCTGAATTTATATTTTTCTTACCTGGAAGGGGCCACCCCCACTAAATTAGGGCCTAGTCCTCTGAACAAGGAGCGAGGCCCTTCTTTTTCCAAGATCACCCTAAAAAAGACAAAAATTACATTAGAAACGTTCTAGGTCTGGTGCTTCATTTATTTTATATAGCAAAGCTAGAACCTAAATCTGTTTGTATTACGTTAGGCATTTCTGTCTAGTTTTCCTTACTTATAAAAATCTATTTTTTCAAGAAATAGCACAAAGTGCTGAAGACTGGCAATCAATTTTCTAGCAATAATAAAAAGAACTCAATTCTGATTCTTTTCTAAAGAAGATTTTTATATATTTATGCTACTCTTATCTCAATCTTCTCATTTTAATATTTTTAACAGAAAATTCAATTCTTAATTAGAAATGTAAATTCCTAAAAAAAAAAAAAAAAAAAAAAAAAACTGGATTTGAGGCCTTTTGCTCAATATTGAACAAAACACTTAGTACTACAGTATGATGGTATCCAACCATTCCAGTGAAGTATTATGGCAAAAATCTATCATCCTAACACCTTTTAGGGGACTGGAGTTTTTGACTGCTATCACTTCTCCCTCCACTCAGCTAACACTTCCTATACAGAATACTAACTGTATAAAAGACCTCATTGTTTTATTTACTTTTTCGGTCCTGGGATTGAAATGAGGGTACTTTACTACCACCGAGCTGCATTCCCAGGCCTTTGTACTTAGAGGCAGGGTCTTGCTTGCTAAATTACTAAGTCTGGCCTTGAACTTGCAATCCTGCCTCAACCTCTGAGTCTCTGGGATTACAGGCACACACCACCATGCCCCACATAAGGAGGTTGTAATGACTAGACAGAGAGCAGAGAGGTTTTTTTTAATTCAGAGTTAACAGACTAGGTAAGTTAAGTGACTCACAAATATCTCTCTGCTTAAGAAAGATCTCTCAAAGGCAACTGAGTGCAAGCACCTGAGCTGAGGCCAGACTTCTCATTCAGAGCCCAGTGGTGGCAGATGACTAACTGTGAGACCAGAAAGTATTTTTTCTCATTCATCCAAATTTTCAACAGTAAATAAAGGTAAACAGTATCTCTTTATTGGGTTACTATGAGGATTGAAAAATCATACATAAAAAGCTTTTGGGTTTAAAAAACTGAGAAACTAAAACAGAGCCCAGAGGGATTCTCCAAAGTTCCTGTGAGAAGAGAAAGCACAACTATTGAAAAACACAACAATAACAAAAATGTATCAAGGAAAAATTTTAATACTAAGTGATAATAACTATCAAGGTCATATTAAAATACTTAGTGATCAGAAGAATTTATCTGTAAACGTGGTATTTTAATTCAAAATTATTAACCATTTTATTCTACCTATTCATGCACTTAAGCAACCAAGTTTGAAAAAGTTAAGTGTGATGAAATCCTTTGGTAGCAAAAGTAAACACAATGAATGAGCTTATTTGCTTCTAGAAAATAAATACTACTGAACTAAGTTCAAACAGATTAAATCCAAGTGAGCTGATAAGGGAGACACACAAGGTTTTCAGTTATAAACTCAACTTTACCTATGTAAAACCTATTCTATTCTATTAGGGATTATTATTTCTAATGAATTATTTCTGTCACTAAGTTTGTAAAAAAAAAAATCTTTTAAAACGTGACAGAATATAAACATGGGAATCACAGAAAAACAGACTAAAAGCATCACAAGTACTGTGCTCTCACTTTAGGCAATGGAGGGGTCCAGGAGACACGATGCGGTTGACGCTGGCCCCAGCCATGGTGTTCAGCTGAACTTCAGAGATGTAGAGTGTCACAGAAGATGACTGTAGCCGTGTTTTTACAACTTCCAGTGGACATGTCAGAATGGCTCCCACTGTGCCGCCACATCTATAAGACAGGAGAAGGAAACCCATCTCTTATCAGGACACACTCCGTGCTGTACCCCAGGGCCCGAAGCTCTGCCAACCTACTGAACTTTAAATTTTTTAAGGATTTTAGAAGACTAAATGATGTTTTAAAGTTTCATTTATTTAACTGCATATAAACACCATCAACTGCTACAAAGAACTGAGCTTACTACTACCCAAAAAAACAATTAGCTAAAGAAGATTTCAAATCATAGGTGCTTTTACTATAATTCACCAGTAAGTCACATCACATCACACCTTTGAATATCTTTTCAGGGTTGATGATTTAGAGCTCCTTGCCCTTGTACGACTTGTAGCTCTCTTAAAACCAAGACCATTATTTGAAGTATATCCTATCTTTCAAATATCTTTTTTAAAACTAAAGAAATGGTTTTCTTGAATTTAAAACTCAAGAAATAAGTCACTGACGGATAAGTATATGTGTTTCTTCCTACAGTGAAATACTCAGAAATATTTCACCTACAAAAACCATCAGGCAAGTTTCATAATCAGTATGTGTTAGGTTAAAATGTGGAAATCTATGGAAGATACATACACTCAGCTAAAAAAATCCACTTTAAAAAGACTGATGGTCAAAAAAAAAAAAAAAAGCTCTTAAGAAATTATTAAATATGTTAAGAAGACTGGTAAGCCATTTAAGTATTCCTTTTAAAGACATGAGTGGAGCATATTTTTCTTTAACATTTTTCTTTTAACATATCATACTAGCTACCCAGTGAAGTGCTGAGAACTGCTTTCTAACCACAGAGGATGGTGACTCAGCACAGTTCTCACTGCAGTCAAACAAAACGCTGAGAGCCAGAGGTTACCATGGACCTCCATGAGGGCATTGAAGGAAGCAGCAAGGAATACACTAAACAAACCCACCCCCAGAACTAAATACCCATCTAAACCTATAAGATATGCAGTGTAACAGGAAAGCAGGCATGGCAGCAATAGCACTACAAATAAAATTTAAAATAAAAATGCATTAAATGAGATAAAGAATGATGTAACAGTACACATCACAAAGAAAATAGAAACCAACTGTATGCTGTTGATCTAAGAGTGAAAACTTTACACAACAAAACTACTAACATTAGAGGACATGGATTCATAACATAAAACTTGACCTTACACTTCACACCATATCTAAAAATTAATTCAAAATGAATCAGAGAATTAAATGTAAAAACATGGAACTATTAACACTCTTAGAAGAAAAAAATCTTTTCAGTTTGGGTAAGAAACAGCTTTCTTAATTACCAAAAAAGCATAAACGAATCATTAAAAAAAAAAAATCAAATTTAGACTTCACCAAAATGAAAAGACAAGCTAAAGATGAAAAGAAAATTATTTACAAATCATAAAATCACATACCTGATAAAGTGCTTGTATTCAGAAACATGAAAAACTGGATAATAACTCAATAAAAAAAGATTTAACATTTTACCAATGATACACATGGATATAAGTAAAGAGAGCTGTCATCTGGGAAAAGCAAAGCAAATCCATAAAGAGCTATGAAACCACAATGGCTAACATTAAAAAAACTCACAATACCAAGTGCTGATAAAGAGCAACTAGAAATCTTGCACACTGCAGGTGGGAAAGCAAAATGATACACCCATTTTAGAAAACGCAAGAAGTTTTCTACAGAGTTAAAACTGCCACACAACTCTGTAATCTCACTCCTAGGGACTGACCTAGAAGAAATGAAGATTACTTCTACACCAAGACCTGACCATGAATGTTTATAGCAGATTTACTTTTAACAGCTAAAAAATGTCCATCAACTGGTGAAGGACAAATAAATTGTGGTACATCTACGCAATGGAATACTAATCCACAAAAGTAACAACCTGGATGGATCTCAAAAGAATCATGTAAATTGAAAAAAGGCTTTAATTTTCTGACATTCTTGAAAAGGGAAAACTATAGGAACAAAATGAGATCTGAGGTTACCACAGAGTGTGGGAGGAGGGAGGAACTGACTGCAGAAAGAATGAAGGAATTCTTGGCATGTTCTACATTTTTATTACAGTAGTAGCTTTAGGACTTTATAGATTTGCTGAAATTCAATGAACTATACATCTAAAGGGTGGATTTCATTGCACGTAAATGGTAGTATGATGCATCTAAAAAAGAAATCCCAAACTCTGTGAAAACTAATAGGAATTGCTAAATATGAACTACCTGGAGCTGAATACATATACATATATTTTTTTTTGGTGGGAGGGGTTCCAGGGATTGAACTCAGGGGCCCTCAGCCACTGAGCCACATCCCCTATTTATTTTACATTTTATTTAGAGACAGGATCTCACTGAGTTGCTTAGAGCCTCGCTTTTGCTGAGGCTGGCTTTAAACTTGAGATCCTCCTATCTCAGCCTCCTGAGCCTCTGGGATTAGAGGCGTGGGCCACTGAATTTTTTTTAGTATGTGAAACATTTAATAAACTTAATATTTACATCCACAAATAAAAGATACATAATGAGGATCTTAACTGTATAGAGATCGGTACGTAACACTTGGGTTGTCCTGAAGCAGTTCCACATTATAAAATGCAATCCATGTGCAGTTTAGGGGTGGCATTCTGGTATTTCTCATGCTGCTATTTTAAAGTAATTATTATATAAAACAAAATCATCAGAATTGCTGTAGAAAACAAAACAATTACTTCACTATTCATTTAAAATTCCTATTTTTGAAAACAGGATTAACCTCCTTGATTTATCTCTCTTCCATGTTGAAAATCTCAACTTCTAAAGAAATATGCCCCCACATCAGAGAATGCCAGAAAAAATCAGCAGACACAGGATTTCAGTGAGGCCAATGGAAAGGGCCTTAGTAAAGAGAAAGGCTTGCAGAGGGAAATGTCAAAAAGCAAACAGTTTTGCCACTCAAAATCCCAGATCAAGGGAACCACATACTGCAGATAGAGATAAAGCAAAGAACTAACAGAGAATAGGCCTACAAGCTGCACAACAAAGGCAGGATGCGTGTACATTTCCTTTACAGAATGGAGAGGAGAAAAGGGAGAGGTATATGGGCAGGGGCCAGGGTGGGGTCGGGAGACAGACATGGAACACATAGACAGATACACACACACCTGATGGGTAAAACTATATTCCAGGGCAGAAGCCTAATTCTCTGAAGAACACAGGAACACAAGAATTTCCAAGCTCAGGATTAAGAAGTATATTGAATGCAAAAGTTTCCACGCTAAGCCGAACCACTAAGCCAGGTGCAGCACTGCACACTTCCAACTCCAAGGACTCGGGAGGCTGTGGCAAGAGAATAGCAAGTTCAAGGCCAACCTTGACAATTTAGCATATACCTGCAGACAAAGATATATTCTAGCAATTGCCTACCTTGTGCCCTTTTCTTATACAGTTAATTAAAAGAACAAATTAAGAGAATAAACTAAAAAAGAGGACATAATTGGATGTAAGAAAAAATAACCCAGGCTCAAGAGAAAGTGCCCACAAAAGGAAGTGAAATGCTAGGCTCAGAAACAGCCAATACTAATGGTCCTAGGATATCATATTTCAGAATGACAAAGATCTTCATGAAGATAAACTAACATATAACCACATGAAAATAAATATTCGAGAATGAATACTTACACATTTAAGAAAATGTTTTAAATAGGTGAAACTACCTCCAAAGGTGGGGAAGGAAAAGAAGTTACTCAAGAAAGAAAAAGTCAACAGAACATAATTTAGCTCTAGAATTAAGTTGTATTTGCACTGTCAAAACTAAAATAAGCACTGACTTCAATTAACAACAACAACAACAAAAAACAGATCACATTGTAACTAGGTATGTATTCAAAGGTGGAAAGAAGGGGGAAATGTCAGTAGTGCAATATAACTTAAGAAAATCCTTATCTACCAGAATAGAAAGTTGATGGGTTACAAATAAATTGGGAAAAAAAAAAAAAAGTAATAGAGCCAGGTGGTGGCACACGTTTGTAATCCCAGAGTCTCTGGAGGCTAAGGCAGGAGGCCAGCCTCACCAAGTAAGATCCTGTCTCAAAAAAATAAAGAGAGGGGCTGGGATTGTGGCTTAGTGGTAGAGTACTTGCCTAGCATAGGCGGGACCCGGGTTCAATTCTCAGCACCACATAAAAATAAAGGCATTGTGTTGTGCCCATCTACACATAACAAATAAATGTTAAAAATAAAATAAAATAAATAAAGAGGGCTGGGGCTGTAGTTCAATGGTAAAGTGTACCTGAGTTAAATCCCTAGTACTAGAAAACAAAAAAAGAAAGAGGGGGGGCAATAGAGCATATTTAGACGCATGAAAGAAAATTCCAAAACAGGTTAGAAGTTATAAGACATTTCTACTAGGAAGCAGAAGTGGGATGGGGCACTGGGGAATACAGTTTTTATTATCTTCGGTCAGCTTACCTCATGCATACATATATTTTTAAATACATTTTTTTCAAAATTATAACTATCCATTTTTAAAATCACCACAGTTTAAACTGGAAAATATGTAGTTGATTGATGTTTCTGGGACTCAATGAAAGCTCACATGAAATTTTAAGAAAAAGTGATGCATACGGTAAGTATGTAAATAATGTTTGATCCAGAACACAATCTAGAATCTGGATCACTTCTCACCATTTCCACCCTGGCATCTTACTGATTAGGAAGGGCAGGGAAAAAACTGTCCTGTGTTGTTATTTATCACACATACTGTGTCAACTATAAGAAGAGGTATTTTTATGGGGTGATCAATTTAGTGCAAAAGATTAAATCATCGTGCTACTTAACTGAAAGGCAAGGACAATGCATTCTCAACTTTACATTTAAATGAACAAGAACACCACTAAAATATTAAATATATATTTTTTATTTAAATGAATCTATTAGATGAGAACAGGACAATTACTCTAAGCCAAGCAAGTAATATGTAATGACAAAGACTGGAACTGGTGTGGTGATGATGCCTCTCTACTCTCAGCTATGTGAGAGGCTAACACAGGAGATTATAAATCGGAGGCCAGTCAGGGACTAAGTGACCCTGTCTCAAAATAAAATTAAAAAGGGCTGAGGGGGACTAGAGTCATGACTCAGTGGTAGAGCACTTGCCTAGCATGTGTGAGGCCCAGGGTTAAACTATTAGCAACACATATAAATAAAGATCCACTGACAACTAAAAAAATATTTTTAAAAGGCAGCGGGGAGGGGCGCTGAGGATGTAGCTCAGTGGTATGGCACTTGCCTACATGTACAGGTAGGTCCTAGGCTCAAACTTCAGCACTGCAAAAAATAAAAAATAGAAATAAAAATAGAAAAAAATTCTGTATCAAAAAAACCCCATAGTATTTAACATTAGTTTTATTCACTTCGACAAAGAAAGTTTCATAACAATGAATATTAATTTAAATATTTTATGTTGTTTACAATAAGCAAACTCTTCACACATAATCAATAACATTTTTTAAAAAACAAGTTAGAACTACATAGAACGTAGTGAGGCTGAAAAGGAATCCAGAATCAAGGGGAAAAAATTGCAATCAAGAAGACTGGCCAAAAAACCCCTAAAATCACCAACAGTCTCCAGTGGGAGCAGCAATGCACACAACAGCCTCCCAAGTTTCGCCAGCCTGAAGCCGTGGCCAGCACGTGTTCTCTGCCCATCTCACCATTCTCACCACCCCCACTTCAAGTGCCACAAAGCAGCCCTCATCATTTCTCGTGTTTTAACTGGTCTTGCTTTCCTCCAGGCTAGCACTACATACTGATTCCATAGATTATTAAAGAACTGTTTAACATGACTATCACTAAACATTTATAAGATAGTTTAGAACTATTAAGACTTTCATGTTGCCAAATTGTGCCATGAAATAATCATGTCACTTCAGTAAATTATTGGAAAATAGATACACTTTCAGCTTATGTAGAGCTAATTAAACCAAAGTTTTGGGAGTGTAGTTAGTTCTGTAGGAATTTACAAGTGTTTCATCTACTTATTGTTGATTGTATAAAATGGAGATCAAGGCATGCCAGCAGCCTAGTTTCTTAAATACTCTCAGCCCCTCTTGAGTAAAGAGGTAACCAAGGGGCTGGGGCTGAGCAGTAGTTCACTTGCCTGGCATGTGGGAGGCACTGGATTCCATTCTCAGCACCGCATATAAGTAAATAAAATCAAGGTCCATCAACAACTTAAAAAAAATTATATAAAAGTAGTAGCCATGTACACCTTAGAACTTAGGATATTTTTTGTTTAAACTAAACACAGTGTAACCAAGAAATGGTTTAAAAAAAAACAAAAACATAAAAAACCTTGTGTGGGCTGGGCAAGGTAGCACACACCTATAATTCCAGCTGCTTGGGAGGCTGAGGCAAGAGGATCTCAAGTTCAAAGCCAGTCCTACTGTTGAGGCACTAAGCAACTCAGTGAGACTCTGTCTCCAAATAAAATACAAAATAGGGCTGGAATTGTGGTTCAGTGAATGAGTGCCCCTGAGTTCAACCCCTGGTAACAAACAAACAAAAGATAAACCCAAGTAACCTTGTGCAGCAGGGTGCAGTGTGACATATCTGTATTGAGGCAGGAGGATGGCAAGTGCAAGCAGCAAGACCCTGTCTCAAAATAAAAATCAAAGAGATCTAGGATGTAACTCAGGGAAGAGAACCACAGATTCAATCCCCAGTAGGAAAGTGGAGCCTGGGAGACCTTATGCAAATAGATCTCATAACAAATAAAAATACTGGAGGCCTCAAAGAGTTCTCCCACACAAGTGACTGCAGCACAGGGGGCAGCGGCTGGGGGTGGGAAGACAGGCAAGAGAACCGTTCACTAAACACAAAATAACAAGCAATGTCAATTTCAACCATGATGTCAAAAGTCAGGAATCCCTAAATTAAGTGTGCAGACATAAAATCCTATCTGCTGGACAGCCCCAAACCACTGAACTACTGGATGCAGCTTCTCTTTGTCTTTAAAGGACTTTTAATACTCCATTACAATTTACTAGTTAAGGCATTTATCAAACTATGGAATAACATTAAAGATTTCATTAAAATGTTAGCCAAACTTAAGGAGTTTTAGATCTTGTAACATGTGGTCTGTCTCTAAAATCCTGTAAAAATTAAGGAAGTCTTACTAAAAGCATTTTCCCTTAAGTATTTGTGTTTCAGTAAGAAAATACTAATTTCTGAAATGGCGAAGGACATTTTCTATCATTTGACAAATTAACATGAATTGCTGAAAATAAAAGCCTATTTAAAAAGGTACATGCAGTATTTCTGATACAGAAAAAACAGGCTATTCCTATTTTAACTGTTAGAGCAAAATCAAGACCTAATATCAAAGACTGTATTAGTAGTTACCATCACTGATAAAATTGGAAGCACAGAAGGAAATCTTATCATACAGCCTTCACTCAGAACAAAACACCATCAGACTGAGGACTAAAAAATCCACTACAGAAACAAAACCCACTGAGGGAATGTGGTAGAATTAGTGAAAGTAAACCTCCTCTGTAACTACTGCTTGCTTCTTTACTCTCCACTGCAAAAAATCTCGATTGTCTACTTTTTGTCTCCAATTTCTCTCACTTCAATCAGACTTGCCATGGAAACAGCTAATCAAAATCACCAAAGGTGCCCCATTGTTAAATTCAATACTAAGAGTTCTCAGACATCACCTGAAATGACAGTGACATTTGAAAGTTCATCACTCACACCTTCCTAGACACTGAAAGCATGCTTCAGCTGGACTTCAAAACTCCACATTTTCTTGGTCACCTCTTCTACTTTACTGGTTCCTCCTCTCCGAACTTCTTTTACTGGAGTCCCAAGAGGTTAATCCTCTGAAATCTTCTATACTCATTCCCTTAATGACATCATCCAAGCTTATGCTGCCATCATGTTCTAATGATTACTTAATGTATCTCAGGTTCAGATCTTTTTCCTGGCCTTCACACTAAATACATCCACCTAAGCAATTGCCTTCTGGACCTTGCTACTTCTCAAATTTACCACATCTAAAGGTAATCAATCTCTCCTTTTCCCAACCTTGTTTGTTCCCTCTGCAATTATACCCATCTTGGTTGACAGCAATTCCATTCTTTCAAGTGCCTTAACTAAGAACATGTAAGTTTTTCTTGC